AGTCGCATGGGGACAAATAGGTCACAATCCAACATGTCCCAATCAAACAGATTCTACAATATATTATGAAAAAGCAATTGATTATTTTTATTTAAAATTCAAAAATGCATCATTATTCAGGACTTTTAAACACGATATAGGTATCAGATAAAATAATAAAATATTTTTAACGAAATATTTTGTTTCCAAATGAATTGTCTAGAAACTGATTAATTAAAATCAATTTTTTTTTAATTTTAAATATCCGATAAGATTGATGTGTTTATATTATTTAATATTGTCTGATAACAATATAATAGTTAAACTTATAATTAATATTATATAAAGTTATTATCGATGAATAAATATATATATTCGTATTTCGTATGAGATATACCTATATGTAGATATCTACTATAAGTCTTTGCCTATGAACTAGTTAAATGTATATAATATAACTATAAGCTTAACTTTACTAATTATCCATTTTAAACGTACTTTTTTTCTAGTTAATTAAATAAAAATAAAAATTATGTTCAATTAAAATAATGTTTATAGTAATTAATAATTTTTATTTATATCTTTAAGCTATAAAATTAATTTATATGTTTTTGTTTAATTACACCGTGGATAGTGGTTTAATTTAAAAGTAAGTAAATAAATAATTCTTTTTTTGAACATGTAGACATATTACATTTAACTACTACACCATGGAATGAGTTAGAAAAGTATTTTATAAATAATTAAAAAAAGTTAAAATTGCAAAATCACGATCACAATCACCTAAGAAGTAATTAAAAATCGTAATTGATAATTATTCTATATTATCTATTCAGTTGTAAAGTTATATTTAATGAAGGTTAAACTTCTCAAGTTAAATTTATCATTTATCACTCAAGTTAAACGATATTCGTCTGCTTTAAAGGGTTTGGTATAGGTAATTTTAATAGAAAATGAAAAGAATCAAAATTTAAAACCTTAAATATAATCATTAAAAGTAATTCTATGTCAAAATAAATAATAGTAATTGCATATCATAGTGAAATTACGAGTATATATCGAGAAACGGCTTCGTGCGAAAAAAAAACCACTTAACTTCTTCCACCTCATCAATTTCTTCTTATGCTTCAATTTTTACCAACTAAATCAAGTTTTTGTGATATTCTTGTTTTATTTTCTAGTTCTAATAAACCATCAATATTGCTAATATCTAAATATTGTCGTACCCGATTCTTCTCCCTTCGTTGTTTATATATTTACCAACCCATTTTGCTATATAACCTCTAGGGGCTTTCATATCTCATAATGTCTTGTGCTTCTAAGTTTACTGACTATTATCTATGGCTCGTTATTTAAAATCTTGTATGGTTGAAAAAATACTCTCACATTATAATATTTATAATTATGACGCAGCAGTTACTTTTAACGAGCACTATTATAATATATTTGTTCTCACTAGTCTCTACTATTATATTTTCATTCTCTGGAATCTAGGTTTATGCTCAGGTATCTAGTGTACTCAAAAACTTTTCACTTAACAGAAAAAGCTTATCTAGTTTTAAGTTCATTCAAATTAATCTGTAATTATTTGTTTATTTTTTATTTATAAACAGTTTAACGGACCAAAATCCTGTATAATATTTTTAAATTATTAAAATAATTAAAGATAATATATTAATAATAATACATATACCTATATGAAAAATACATAATATTTGAATTATAAATTACTATTTCTTAAAATTAACAAAACATTGAATTTAAAAATATCATAACTTGAAAAAAATCTAATGAGGAGAACATTTCATAAGCTATATTTAAAGCATGAGGGACAAATTAATCAATACCAGATTTTTTTCAAAAAAATATAAAATAACAAATAATTCTTTACTTTAAAAAAAAATGAAGAACCGCAAATACATAATTGTACCAATAATAAATATATGCAATTAGTATTCCATTTAATAAACAATGTACAAATATTACATCCACAAATTTTCTTTTGAAGAACAAAGAATTTAGATTTTGTGATCAAATTTACGATATGTGCCAAATTCTTAGAAAGAACTCACAAGAAAACTATACGAAGTTTTCAAACAATATAAAATGTTAAAACTTTTAGTATTTCTATTAATGAACTCAAACATCTTATATAATTTATTTAACACAAGTTTATAACTAATTTTAAATAACAAGTCATATTTAAAATGAATATCCAAAACTTTCATAACATAAACTCTATTTAATTCATTATTGTTGATTTTACATTCAAAAATAATTGAATTCCAGTAAAAGAAATAACCTTCCATTTTATAATATTTAGAGATAGATAATTATAGTTATACACCATGTAAAAAACGAATCTAAATTCTTTTGCAAAATTTCAGAGTCTGCAATATTATTAATTAAGCAGTTAAATTTATTATCTTGTCTTTTCTTAATTAAGAGCGAAATTCAAACGCCATTATAAATTTTTTTACTTTGAATATACATATTAGTGAAACCGAAAAAATATTATCATTTTTTACCTATTTTTCTAGAAATTTTTTCTCGAGTAGAGACGTAGTTCTTCAATCTCTTTTAAAGTCCTCCTTTATAATATTACTTCAAATGTTTCTACTAAATCTACTAAAGTGTTTCTAAATTATTTTTATTCAAACTGAAAGTAATTCTCTGCTTTTTAAACTTATTCTAATGATAGTTCGTCCAATCTGTTATTATACAATATTTCCCCTAGTATAACTTATTCACTAATCACTTGACGATATCATAACTTACCTAAAATACTCATCCTAAAAAATAGTAACTAACGAATTCATGGACGGCATTTTCATTCAATGTTTGTAAAATTATTGTTATCAATACTTTTTAATTTCCAATGTATCTACTGTTTAGGTACTCTTTATGTAGATCTCAGTAATAATTTGACTTATATTTTTTTAGTAAGCATTTGAAGTTTAAATTTTGACACAATTAGATATTTTAACGAATAACTATGTTTTTGGAAATGTTTTCTTTCGTTTTGTCATGTTTTTATATAAATTAATACAGTCGAAAGTTTACAAGTATAACTCGATTTTAATAATGAAGCTGGTCTGGATTTCACAGTAAAGATTTAAAAAATGTTTAATAATAAAATGCAAGAATTCACTGATACATCAGAAAAATAGTGAATGTTTTTTCTCCGATTATTATTATATCAAAAAACAATAAAATAGGTCAAACATAATTAAAAAATCTACTAACAACAAAATAATATAGTGTTAAATAAATACCGGTATAAATATATACATTACATTTACTATTTTAAATTTTTATAAATTCATAATTATTTACATATGAGTTTTATTTTATCGTAATAAAATAATACTGTGTATAATAATATACACATATGTATAATTCATTGTATAAATATTTGTTCTGAAACAATAAGCAATATATGTTTGAACTTAAAATGCATTACACGTACTCACGGTTTTTGTTTTATTAAATAAAAATAATACGATAAATGATAAATATATTATTATAGATAATAATATACAATATACCTACGTATAATAATGAGTTTAAAGCTAGGTATATACATTTTAAAAATAAATTAAATTAGATAGGTTATGTAGATACCAAGTATAATACTTAATATATATTATAAAAAGATAAACATACAGCTTCTGCAATTTAATAGGTAATTAAGATTTATGATCAATAATAATTCAATATTGGTTGGTTTTAGCCTTTAGGTATTTATTATAATCAAGTAATTACAAATATTTCTTAATGAAAATCAGTAAAAATAAAAACATAAATACTAATTTAAAAAAATTTAATCCTTTAAAAAGTATCAGGTTGATTACGTAATTCAACAATTTGGTAATTGGTGTAGCCTGTACACAGGTAAAGCGAAACTATTTTAAAACGACTGAAATCGCTTAAATGTGACTAATGAGAAATTAAACATTTATATTTTATAGAAAAAATGCACACTGATAAAATGTAGTCAAAACAAAAAATGTTTGTCTCCAGTCATGACTAATATTGCTTCATTGGAATGAAATGTGTGGTATTTTGATAATTTATAATTAATATTAGTCACTGGATGCTGTTATCAACATTTTACCAAAAACTAATAATTTGTGCTAAATTGTTTACAATATAAAGGTAAAATTATATATTTATACAAGTAAATGTACTTAAATTTAAAAAAAAAAATATGTTTATTTCATTTTTTTATTCATTTTTTTAGTATAGTATTCGAATCCTCTAAAAAATTATATAAATTATATAATTAAGTAATTAAATAAATAGGAAACCATGTATATAATATAATACTATATATTTTATTAAATATGATTATAAAATGTCGATCGAGCTTGAAATCAACCTCAGTCACTTTATGGTTATAAAAACAAAAACATACAGGAACAATTATGAACAGAAATATCGGATATCCTAAAGAATACCAAGTTTTTTACTTTAATTTGATCAATTACGTTTTATGTAGTGTACAATCATAATGCTTTATTTTTACTTAAAGCAAATTGACAAAATATTACTTAAATTCTTTCAGTTGATTTTTCTTTACCAGATCACTCTAAGAAATTAAGGGAAAACATGTAATATTATAGAAAGCAAACACAATTACTGATAATACCTTAAATAAATTTAAAATTTAAATAAATTAAATTTGAAGTCTTAAATATTTTTAAATAAATAGATAAAAATATATTTTTTTTGAACTTCCTGCCTTAAATGGCTTAAATGATAAAATCATATACTATATTTTCATGATAACAATAGAATGTGATAATGATAATAGTTCAAGATGTTCATTGATTCAGACTACAATAGTAAAGGGGTCTTTTTAAAGTTAGTGTACGGTGCTAAGCACGTATTTGCGTGACGAATCATACAGGGGTTTAATATTATCTAGCTATGGTAACAGTTCATATATCTAACAAACAATTGAGTTGTAGTTCATAAGTATTAAATCCGAATTGAAATTTATAACGTATTAAATATTATTGTCAATTAAAAACTTATTAATTTTATATTAAAATGATTTACGGAGGAAAACCTATGAAACCCGTTCCACCGTCTAAAGTAGGTGTTTCTATACCTACGCCGTTTCGAGGACCTGAAGCATATACGTACGGGTTTGTAAGTACACCAATACTTTTTTTTAATTGAAAATATAACATTATAACATTGATTTGATAAGCTAATTTAAATATTAGTTAGCTAAACAACCGGGGTGTGATTACAAAATTAGACTTCGTGACATAGAACGATTCCGTACAGAAAGGTTAAAAATACAAAACGAAAATGATTTTAAAAGTATACTTAGAGAAGCTCAGCATAAAGAAATGATTGACGCGTCTGATAAAAAATGTCTATACAATCAAATAAAAAGAATGGTTGAATGTGGAATGAAAGCTAACGAACATTTATTTAAAGAAGAACCATGTCCAAAGTATGAACATCTGTTTTTATTGTTTTTAACTTCAACAATACATTAATAATTACTTATACGTTGAAAAACTAGGCCGGAATTAAAATTAGAACAAGAACCAGGAAACCCGAAAATTGCCCAAGAAGATTTAGAAGAAAAGGCAAGAGCACTCAAAGAAAAAAGTGACGAAGAAGAGCGTAAATTAGTGGAAGCAAAACGTCTACAAATGTTCATGTTGGCATAAAATAAAATAAAAAATGTATTGAAAACTATTGAATATTTTAAATTATTATTTTAGAGAAAACTCTGAAGAATTGAGATTTGCTGCAATAACTAAACGTAAAAACGATATAGCTAATATAAACTATAAAATTATTGAAGAAAATAACAGATTCATTAAAGAACAAAAAATTAAACAGAGAGAACTAGCTAATATTGAAAATGCAGAAATATTTAAAAAGCAGGTAAATCTAATTATATATATATATAGCTAGACTAAATTTGATTGATTTTCAAAGTTAAATAAGCAATACACTAGCGCGTACACGAGGAAAGGTCAGGTGTTCAACCCTCCCCCTCCCTAAAAAAAAATATAAATTTATATACTTTTTTTTTGTACGCGCCTGTATATACGTATATAGTTGCGTGTAATCCATAAGTAAACATATCCTATTAAACATTTATGAATTTGTTACTTATGGTTTTAAGTATTCAGCTTTATTATTTTTTTTAAATTTAAATCGAAGTAAGTCATTTTACAAAATATTATGAAGATTTCATATTTTTGTATGCATTACTAGCGAAATGCACATTACTATTGATTATAAACAAGAATTATAATTTTACTTACATCAATAAATCATGTCACTGATACATAAGGCGTTTTGACAGTAGTTATTGATAATAAGTTATCACAAAAAATAAAAAAAAAATGATTAAATATATTTTCTATTGCTGCAGTCGAGTATTTATTTCTGAGATCTGGATCTTAATGGGCTTACTAATGAATTTATAGTATGTATTGATAAATAATATAATTATTAATATTATTTATATTGTAAAAAAAATATATGTATATATTATACACAATAGGTATAGATATACCTATTTTGTCATACGTCTAGTATGAAAATACCAAAGCAGATTGCTACGATTACCTAAAAAAAATAACAAACAAAACTTTCAGTTATCACAAAGTTCATCCAAATAATTCCAAGTAAACCACCCAGGTGCTTTAAAAGAAACTGTTGTATAGTTATACACTTCCTAAAAAAAATGTTCCGACAAATGCTGCCAATGCATGACTTTCCTTTCCCACCATTCAAACCTCATTAAATTTACTTGTTGGATAGATTTTTGTGTATAGCTGCACATTGTAAATAAATAAATTTTATTTTCAATGAAAATAAATAAACGTATAGGCTAATAGCACTATATTACCTACACTCCTGCAATACTACTATAATATGAAATTTATAATTTTATTTAGACTCTTGAAAGAGAAGAGGAAAGACGTAAACTTTTAGAGAAAAAACTTAAGTTTCGAAAGGAATTATATGAACAAGTTCAACAGAAAGAAAAATTACTAGAACAACAAAAAGTTTTAAAAGCGATTGAATGCGATGAAATTAAGAAATTGAATGAAAAGTTGAACGAAGAAGAAGAATTTGGTAAGTAAGAGTCTGCTCGATAAATTATTATCTTTAATTGTTATTAGGTGTATATTAATTAAGCATTTTAATAATGCTGTAATAAAATATTTTCAATACATATCTAGATTCTAGATACAAATAATACAGATACTTAACTTTAAAAATTATCTACTATCTAGGTACACATACTCTTAAAATACATAAAAAAAAAAAAAACAAATTATTTTCTTTATGAAGATTTGTTGTATTAAAAATGTAGAGTTACCAAATTAAAGTAAAACAAATAATTCATAATTTAAAATTCAATAATTTTTATGTCAATCTTTAAATATAATTTTATACTTACATTACAATCATTGTCAATAAAAAATAATAATAAAAGTTATAAATGTATAATGCATCATAGTTTAACAAAACAAAATAAAAATATAGGTTTAATAGGTCTATTTTATATTTACAACAGATATTATTCATCTGATCATCTGTATAAAGTCATAAATTATAATTAATCATTAGCTAAATTAATATTATAATAATTTAATTTTAATAAGTATCTTAAATAGGTACTTCTATTAAGAAACAATATAATTTTACTTACAGTTATAAATTAATTTTTCTTTTAAGTAAATAAATAACGATAAAAGATACAAAATAAAATGTAGATACATTACAGAGCACTGCATTTTAGTTTAAATATTTACAGTAAATTTAGGGATAAAAATAAATAACTATTTAAGAATATTTTATTTATCATTAGTGCTTAAATAATAGCTAGAATAAATACAGGAAATTTTACGATACAAATTTGCAAATCAAAAATTAATTTTCTTTAGAAAAATTAGAACGTAAAAGAAAACAATTGCAAACAAAAAATGAAATAGCATTATTCACCAAAGAAAGAGCGATTTTGTTTGCAAAAATGAACGAAGCGAAAACAATGTTTGATGAAACATTTAAGCTCACAATGAGACAAAATTTAAAGGATGACTCAGCCAGCGAAATTGAAGCAAAGGTGAAACCTAAATTTTTGTGTGTTTTTTAATATATTTATTTTGATATATTTTTAAAATATTATAGCTTCAATTAAAACGCGAAAACGAAATGTTTAAAGAACATCAAGCAATTATTAAAGCAGAACGCAAAAGGCAAAATGATGAAATATCAAAAACAATTATGAAACAAATAAATGAAATTGAGGAACTTAAACTATCTATCGAACGTGAAAGTGCTGAAGCACGGCGAAAGCGTATGAAGGTACGATCCTACTAAATGTATTTAAAGTGTATGTATACTATGCGGGCATTACAATATTATAATTTTCACAGGAGGGCAATAATGTTTTAATGGATCAACTAAAAGCGCGTAAGGCACTTTTAGAAGAACAAAAAAAATTAAAACGTGAAATGTTTAATCAAGCGAAAAAAGAATACGAAGACTATTTGAAAGAGGAGAAACTTCAGTGGGAAAATAAAAAAATATACAAATGGCAGTTTAGAAAAGACCTAAACGACCAAATTAAGGCCAGTAAAGAAATAATCGTAAGTATTCAATATTATATGATATCAACACATTATATATTATTCATATAATTATATTTATTATCAACGTATGACATGGATAATACATAATACATGTACAGGTTACTTATATTTTTAACTTTTAATGCGTCACTTACATAATATAAAACCTGTGAAAAAATAAATTAGTTTCTTTTTATGAAATCAGACATGTTGTGACGTATTTTTAATGCGTATTTCTATTACACACACGTTTTTTAACGAGTGGGTTGGCAAAAATCCAGTTACTAATCTAGTTTTGCATTCAATTTTTATTTCATTTAATAAACGTATGAAATAAACTATTTTACTGTTTAGGAAAAACAGAGACAAATCGATTTGGAAAATCATCGGAAATTCATGATGGAATTAGCCGCACAAGAAAAACTACTAAAAAAACTATTATCTGAACTATGAACATTCAAGTAATATCACTTTTTCATAAACGCCTGTTCATAATGTTTATTGAACTCAGATTTTTATAGTTGTAACATATCATGATGAACCTATTTAGATGACCTTTTTCTTTATATTAATTTTTATTACCAAGTTATCTATATTGTAGTATTATATTATTATAGTGTTGATTATAGCTTATCAGATAGTGGCTAATTTGATTTCAATTATACTGAATTATCTATTTATCTTATAGACATTATAATAGATTTCCTTATTTTCAGTATTTATCCTTTAAATTAGTATGAACTTATATTTACTCCAAATTAAGCTTTATTAATATGACTTTCATTGTATAGACTATTAGTGCATTATTATGTCACTTTTATAAAATTATATTCATTCAAAAAATGTCTGTTTGTAAATTGGATGCAATACCGTTGATTTTAGACTATAATATATATTCTAAAATCAAAGATGATACCTATATAAAACTATAGGTTAGAACTATAGGCTATATAGGACTATAAGTTATAAATTAGAACTTGCTTTAGTAAATATTATTTTCATTTTTAAAACCATCAACTATACTAAACACAAGTAGATATTAATTATAAATGTATAATATTCTTAAAAATTGTGTTCAAGATTTAAGCAATTAATACAGGTTACACGAAATTTATACTATAATAAAGAAATTTATCTCAGTGGATGACAAATAATTAAAAGTCAATCATACGAGTATAATGGCTCATATTCAATATATTTAAAATTGAACGATTGGGAAACATATTCTTGTATCCTAAATATGTCCAGACTACAATCAGGAGTGTTGAGTAATGATGTAACCGTTTAAACTTATATAGAGTGTTGCGAATTAAAAAAATATTTATTTATAAGTAACTATTGTAAGTACTAAATACCAACAAAATATACAAATAAGTATAAATATATAAAACCTTTTATTATAGTAGACTGATTAATAATAATTAATTTATAATACAAGTTAAGATTACAAAGTTACAGATCTCTACACATACTGATACAGTGGACCGTAATCATAAAATACAAAAATACATAGTATATTAAATGTAGGGCATTACTAATTACTATAGTTGACATTATTAAAAATAAATAATTATATTTTACAGTGATGAGTCATGCTTGATGACTTTGATGATAGACAATAGTAATTACTAATATTAGTAACTGTATCCTATAGTCGATAATACAATATTGTTTTCATTGGTGTGGTAGGAAACTGTGACACTATTTAAAATAATAGCATTAATAACAATATGAGTAAGTTAAATCTTTGTCATTAATCAAATACTCAAGTATCAGCTAATTTTCTAGACTTCCAGAGACTATAATACGTTATATTTATTAAGCTTTAGAAATATCTATAAATTTATTACGATAATACATCCATGTCAAATACATTATGATATTATTATTATAAGAAACTAGGATCACAAATACCCACAGACCACAATAAATAAATAGGTAGGTTTTTAATTGGCTTATTTTGATAAATTAGGCAATTAATTAATTACTTCATAAATCGAGTATTATACGTATACACTATACACGTATTAATGTAATACGTACTAGCTCGACTAGCTGTATAATCTGACTTCGCCAAGGAAAAAATGAAAAAGTATAAAATAAGGTATTATGTCGATGTATTTCAGTTTTAGTGTATGTTCACGAGCAAATCGGTAAATCGATATACCTCACTTTGTAAACCAATTCGATCAAAATGGGAAATCCGCCTAGATGAAGCACTTGGTATATTTTATAACGCAGTTCGAAGTACCCTCTAAACTTTTCCGAAGAGAACATACCTCTGAGAACTATCTCTAAAACTTTTATCAAAATCAGTTGAGTATTTTTAGAGTCTATAAGCTACAATCATAATAGTCGGACATTGTATTTTGTAGTACATTATAAACAAATAAACAATAAACTTAATATTATCTTATTTAAAAAATCTTATAGCAAAACCTGGCGAATTAATTTTTTTTTTCTGTAAACAATAGAAATCTTAAATATTAACAATAAATTATTCGATTTTTTTGAGCCAAAATGAAATTTACTAAACATATAATTTTTTTTTAACCAGTCTAATAGTGTCCAAGATAAACGCACGCTTATCTTTGAACACGTTCAAAGTTTAAACATGCAAACTCTACAGCATTATAATGTATACTATTAGTATATGTTATACAAATTATGAATATTATAAGTATATTAAAAAGCACATCTGTATAATGTATAAATACATAAATATGTATCGATATCATTTGTACAATTTTCAAAAATTAAATTTACGCCAAAATAAAGAAAAATATAAAAAATTAGTTTTTAAATAAAAAAAAAAGTTTACTTGCTGTAATTATTAGGTAATAAGTATAAGAATAAAATAACTAAAAATCTACTACCTCCCTTGTTTACTAGGACCAAGTCATTACTACCACGTCTAAATTCATCTCATGTAGGACTGTAAATATTGACAGGTTTATATTATGTACATATAATTAATATATAATATATATTATGTTCATATGAAAGATTATGATATATTATGTTATAAAATAAATTAATATAATTTGAATATTCATTTCTTCTGTATGTGCTATACCAACTGGCCAGTATTTGGAGTCTACTGATCATAATGTTAATAATATTGCAATACCTATCAAATTTGAAATTTACCATCTGTCGTTATAGTAACATACAATGGCGGCATACGGCGCGTCGGCGCATCCGAATAGCGTGCGGAAGATACCTACCTAAAAGTTAAAAATCATAACAACCGAATAACGTGCGAGATAATATTATATTCTCGTATTTATATAAAGCTGCGCGCGATATTTATATTTTATAATAATTTACATACTTATTATCAAGCATTTTTACTTTATTGGCTTTATCGTAATATATGAAAACAAAGGTATATCACGATGAAATACAATTGTATTGTACGTGATTTGGGCATAGGTACATACTACAGTACCATATTGATATACTATTATGTATTAAAAAAAAAAGAACGATGGATAAAGAAAATTACATAGGTAACGTAACTATGGATAAATATTAAAATAACCAAATTTTATGAAATTACATTGCTTGAATTCGTTGACAGGTGTATTGACATGCATGTTTTTATTGAAAATTTAATTTATCAAAATTATTATTTAAACATTGTCGTCATATACCTTAGGTCCTAACTCCTAGGCATGTTTTTATTATATATTTCTAATTTATGCATTTACATTAAACATAGATACCTACTATAAAGTATAAACATTACGATATTACCTTTACACATTATACAATATAATGATGTGTCAATCCGGAGTTTGAAAAGTTGAAGGAAAATTTCATATTTCACAGTTGTATTGTATGATATAAAAATCAAGCATGACATTTATAACATCGAATAATAAGTAAAATGTTCTCCGTCATTTGACGATTTCGAAAAGCAATTGATAGTTACACAACATTTTCAAAGAAACCATTTTAATTTTAATTTTTAGTATAGATATCAGAACATTTAGAACCACATAGATAGGTACATTGAAACATATATCATGTCTATAAAACACGAACGCACTTTTTTTTTTTTAGGTAGAGGAGACTAAATAAAATTAATTTAAAATAGTTACTATATTTAATTTTAAATATGTACAAAATTCCGAAACCTTTATGCACGAGATTTTACTTCTTTCGAACCAATAGGTAGCGGTGAACCGCCGACATTATACCTAGGTATAAAATATAGGTAATAAATTATCAATTAATTAAATTATGAAAATGGTGATTATTTTTCCTATATGTTACCAACTAAATGATAAAGTTAAGTTATCTCAATCCTTTTTTCCCTAATATTGATAGCACTTCTGAAGTTTGAACATCGATTTCTCTAAGAATAATATGAAGCATAGCTAATCCATTCCTTCGATTCTGACTCATTGTATTTCTTTGGTAGGTATATTTATTGTGTTAAACGTGTTGTCTAACTCGATTTTTATTAAAAAGAAAAAAAAACAATTAATCGGCAAACAATCAACTACACAGACTTGAGTAGTTGTACAACAATAGGTACTATCTATTATATTTTTAAACAAGTCACAAAACGTAAGTCGAATTTGTAAACCCAAAGATACCTTTATGCTGCAATAAACTAAATTTAATCGATAAAAATATAATCGTAAGGCGTTTCCGGTTTCGACCGTAATATTCTAAATCCACATAACTAGTTTAAACACCCCCTCCTCTTCTCTCTCGAATGCGTCTTTATGTGGAATGTTCATGAAATAACATATTGTTAACAAGCGATACGTATCGCCGTATCGGCGAAATCGTCGTATCATGTTACCGTCAAACGTTATCAAACGGTCGTTAGTTTAAAACTGATAACAGTCCTCTCCGACAGTCCGAACACTCCGAAAGTCCGAACATTCCGAACGTACTAAATACTAATTTCGATTGCGGTTTTTCTACTTCTCGTCGCAAATTCAAAATACAGCATTTGGACCGTTTAAATGCTGTTGTTGGTTTCATAAATTAATAATTATTCTGGGCTCTTGTGATAAACATGTCTACGACGGTATGCAAATTCTATTTACAAGGAAATTGTTATTACGGCTCGTCCTGTCGGTTCTTGCATGATCAACCACAGCGCTCAAACCATGGAATCTCATCAAGGAGTTCTAGTGAGTTAATACCTAAATCATTTTTTCTGGTAAAAATACTAAAAAATTTTAAAACACATTATCAATTGATAAGAAATTCAACACATATATTGTTGTACACTTTTCTTACTTTATTCTTAATATTATTTACATGTTTTAATGTTTAGGGAATAAAAACAAAAGTTATTATGAAACTATTAATAGAGCATATAATGATGATGACGATCACGGACAACATTACTATGATTCTGGAAGTAAAAACGCCAACTACAATTATAAAAAGGATTATGGCAACAGGGATGGTTATTATAATCAAAGAAATGATCGCAATGAATATTATGACGATTCCAGTAATCATTATGGCAATCAAGGTCAAAGGCAGCGCAATGTAAAGAACTATAATGAAGATGACAACAGTCGGAGTAGAAATTATGATTATGGTGCGAACAAAGTTCATGCTAGTTCAAATCGGTACTCAAATTTTAAATATTTAAATTCAAATGTTATTAGTTACAACACCATATACATCACATACTCAATATATATAATATATATTATAATAACCAATGAATTTTAATTTTTTACGATTAAAGCAATAAAATTTGTTATTCAATTTTTTTAGGAATACGAATTTAGATAGTAAAAAACAAACATATGAAATCCACAATGATACAGAAAAAATATTAAAGAAATATGAAAATGATATGTAAGTACTATTTAATTTAAAATAAACAATCAATATCAGAAAATATTTAAATAATTAGTAATAACTAAATCCTTAGCTTTATCAATATTCCTTTTTTATGTTCTACGTTTTAGACAACACAAATTTTAGGATTTCTTTCAAATACTAGGCAATTTTTCTACTGCTTTTTATTCATTTGTAGTCTTAAGAAAGGAAAAAGCTCAATTTAATTAGTTTTTCTTACTTTTTAATTAAACTTTAATTATTGCAAAATATTTTATCACAAAGTTATTTCAAGTATTAATTTTATTAAAATAAAATATTTGTTAAATTGTCACAAATTCATTCTTTTTTCTCATATTTTAACTGATGAGAGATGGAAACATATTGTATTTTAGTATACTAGTTTTTTAATGAGGCATTTTAATAGTTTCATACATTTTTATTTATTTTTAATTCTTTTTTGCAAAAAAAGCAGAGTTTTTTTCACTAAGTATTTTAACATTTATTTTTTTTCAGTAAAACTTACCAAAATCATGTAAGACAATTATCAATGAGCAATGCTTGGCCATTCACGTGTTTTCAACCTATTGGACATGAATTTCCTATTCAACCAGTTGGATGTTTAAATTTTATTGAAGTATCATTTGAAGAAATTAGATGTGATTATTACATGACTAAAAATATTTGTGCCAATCCCGGTTTGATTCATGTAAGTTACAACTAATACGTACAGAATGTTTTACTAATTTCCATTATTGTATACAAATGTTATTTGAATTTAAATTTACTTAATACATATTATTTTTATTTTACTAACCAATACAATATGTATCTTTAGACTAATAAGATATTAAGTATATTAAGAGTACAATTTCTCTCTAAATAATATGAAATATATATATCTCATAGCTGAAAATTATATGTTTACAATTTCATGATAGCTAATTTTTATTCTGTAATAACTGTTAAGGATATTTCACCCTAAACAAAGTTGAATTTATAAATAATAAATATGACTAAATTATGTTTTATTTAAAATATTTAAACTATGAAATATTAAGTTTTATAAATAAGATTTTTTTTTTATTTACAAAATATTTTATGAAGGGTTCATTTATGTATTATAAGCACAACAAAAAATTGATAACAGTTTCAACAAATATAAATCAAATATATTTTACCAAAAATATTAAATAGTATAGTTCAACTTAAAAATAACTCGTTAAATTTTGATGAAATGTTAATAATTGCATGTGACATGTATCTAGTTACTTGTAGATTCTTAATTATTTAATTACTCATAGATCCACAAACAATTATTATAATGTATAATATGTAAAGATAGTACTGGAGTATGGCTATGCTGGGCCTCATACTTGCTATGACTTTAAAAGACTTTTTTAATGGTATTATTCTATAATAATGGTATACTCTTCAAATGAAAAGAAAAATATACAGAATTAAAGATTAAGACAATAATTCCAATTTTATATTTTGTTGTCCACGGGTTAGAGAACTGCTTATTTATAATTCATAATGTTAGATTTGCATGAATGATAAAGTTCTTACATCAAAATTAATCAATTATAGTTTTATAATTTTGAATGTACTATATATGATTTAGAAACGGAGTGTTGATGATTTAATGTCAAAAGCTCAAAAGCAAAAAGAAGATATTTTAACACTTAAGAGGCATGTGCAAGAAGATCTTGTAAGTATATGATTCTTACTTCAGTATTTATACTTTAATAAAATTATATTTTACACAATATGCAATTTAATGTTATCCTGTATGTTATTTTTTATATGCTTCAGGTATCAACATTTAAAAAATGTGAAAATTCAAAAGTTAACAATTTTGAAAACTCTATACAGATAGACCAAAATAGTTACTGGGATATGTCTATTAGATCTTTGAAAACGCCCGTGAATAAAAAATCTGAATTGGAGTCATTTAGTTTTGTTACCAAAAAAAAAGATAAGAACACTGAGAACGAGCCAAAATTGAAGATACTCATGCAAACCGAAGTATATGGTAAAATAGATAATGAAGCATTTGCTCAAAATTGTTTTACCAATTTCATACCAATTATGCCTCCACCTAAGAAGTACTGTTTATAATTTTTTTTTTTTAGTAAATTAATAGTTCAATTTAAAATATACAAACAAATCATTGCTTTACCTAAAATCAATACTTTTTTCTTTTTTACTGGGAATATAGAAATGACATCTTAAATCCATAATAATATTCTCATCTGTTTTTATATTGCTCCATCTAAAATCGCTTGATATTAATTATTTTTTTTTTTATAATATTAATAGTTATTAATTTCTTTGAATTATTTTTAAAATGTTCATTTTTCTAAAAAACAAATTAACATTTATTTTGTACCTTATTCCTTATAAAGGAATTAAATTTTTATTAGTTTAATTTTAGTAATCCACTGTAAATCTCATAAATGCTAACTAAGTATTATTACACAATTGTAAAGAAATACTCCTTAGACTTTAGAGAATAAAAAAAAAAAAAAAGAAGTTATTTTTGTCATAATGTTTTAATATAATTGTATCTGAATATTTTACAAAAGTATTATAGTTGTGATCACATTATTCAACCTTAACTTCTATAGATTTTATATTAATATTAGTTGATAATTACATTGTAATTTGTAAAAATAATTATAATTTATTCTGTTCCTATCTTTTTTAATGTTCTGCTATCCTTAAAATAACATTTTTTACAATTAATTTATAATTATATTAACTATTTCAGTTTACAATTTAATGGAAAAATTGTATCAATTGAAATGTCTATTATTGTAATTTGTAAGTACCCAATATGAGTAGTTAATGATGATATTTATTTAATTACAATAATGATATCTGACATTTGTTGTTGTAATAAATAAGTATTAACTCAAAGATATGATAAACTTTTATTCTATTTTGTTAATTTCTTAAGATATGTAATACATAAATAAATTTATATTTGTTTATATTTTTTAATTTAAATGTATTTAAGGATTTGTGGCGCCTCGTCATTTAAAATTGAAACACTTATAAAGATTCACATGAGTACCAATTAGTGGTTGTTGAATGTTGATTGATTTGAGAAGTTGAATGATTATGAAATGTTTCATTTAAACAAAATACTTCATTTGCAGTTTTTATTTTTAATAAATATTATACCTTAAATGCAAGGAATTAAAAAGTTAGTTTGCTAAGTAGTGATAAGTATTTAAAAAGATTAAAAAATTATATATTTTTTAAGTTTTTATTTTTCCATTAGATACTGATATTTAAAGACAGTATTAAAATATCAAGATTGGATAAATTTTTTATTTAAATATGTAGGTATATGATTAAAGAGTTAAGTTCTAATGTATGGTGATTATATTTTGTAATTAATAAAAAAATATTTTTAGAATACACAGTGTCATATTTATGCAAGAACAAATAGACAATTACACTGGGCCTACCGACTTCAAGCATAAACAATTAATTGTACTCCTTGTGATCATACTTTGGGAAAACATAATGGATATGAATTTTACTTATGTATTTTGGTGGGTTATTAAGTATAATAACTTTTTCCCAAAAGTGGTGGCCTTGAAGCTGAAATCAAATTTGACTTAAACATTAAATATTTAGTTCGATATATAAGTGTAAAAAATAATAATAAAAATACTAATTTGTATTTAAAAATATTAACTTTTTAATTTGTTTAGTTTGTTTTTAACTTAAATAAATATTAAACATTAATTGACTGTTTTAAATTAGTATTTTTGGTTATAAATAATCATGTTTTTGACAATAAAATGTTTTTCTATGATCCAACTACTCATTTATAAACAGCTAATTACATAGAACATTGATTTTAAAATATATTTTGCATACATTTTATTTTGGCATTAAAAAAATAGAAATTAACAATTTGGGGTCCAATATTGTAAATTATACTTAGCCCATTAATTGGTGAATCAGGCACTGAGAATACATATTTAGTAGTTTTTAATAATATGTAGTTAAATAAACATTGTATAAGTTATTTGGATATTATGAGATGGGCCCACATTGATTTTTAAATTGATTGAAATAATTAAACTTTTGAGGATGTAGAAATTTAAAGATACTAAAACTTATTATTTAAAGATAATCATTCTAAGTAGGTATTATAGTTGTACGTATTTTTCATAGATTTTAAATTTTCATGTTTTGTTTGATTAATCTAGTACCATTCTTGTTTTTTCCGTGAAAGAAAAATTGATTCTTTGTAGATATAATGAGCTGCTCAAATTGTTTTCAATATTATAGAATATTATTCAATTCAATTAGTATAGTTATACACTGTATGAAATAATAATGAAATCCGACAACTGTCCTACTGAGAATTGAAATACACAAATAGATAGTTTCTAAGTTAAGTATTATTAATATTCTCAAAGAACAACTAGAAGCTAAAATGTTTAACATATTCATGTAATAAAATTGTAATTCTTGATAATAAATTTGACCATTAATTATTTAACCTACTTAAATGTTTATTATTTTTTATTATTTTTAGGAGGTACAGCCACATAGAACAAGTTTTTTATTTTTAAAGAGCCGTGAACCAAAAAAAGTTTAGGAACCGCTGCTTTATAGAATATGGTCCATATACATAATCACTAACGAGTAATGAGTAGAGGCCGGATTTATAAGTATTACAAGTATTTATTGACTTTTTACTACTCAACGGAGATTAAATAATGCGGACGATTTATATTATTTACTCCTATTTTTACTATTATTTACACCATTCGGTACAGAAAATAATTGGGCCTCACCAAAAAAAAAAAATGTTCTACACACTACACTCGCACACAGACAGTTTAATAGTATACAGTGTACACAATGTAATATAATACATCAGTATGACAACAAATCCTTTTTAAATTACAATATTATAAAACAAATTAATATATATATAACTTATAACACCACCTGAGAAGTGCTAAATATTCAATAGGTGTCCTTGTAAACTTGTAATATTAGTGAAAAAAGTGAAAATGATTTAAAGTTTAAGCAGGTACCTACTATTAGGTAGCAATAGTCGATGTATGAAATATTTTATTTATAATTTATTTATTTTCTATGAGTGAAATAAATAAATGATTTTATTCAAATTTTAAATTAATTGGAAATTGTCAACGGATATCGATATTTTTTATTTAAAAAAAGAACATACTTTTAAATCTTTAAAATATCAAATATTCAAATTTTAAAAAATATTCATATCATCATATCATCTATAGGCGATTAGGAGGTAAGTAATTATTTAAATGTAACTTTAAGTTTTTATCTTTAAAGTTTAAACTTTTTTTCATAGAAAAAAGTTGTAACCAGTATCAGTTTCAAAATCAGGTAAATACTTGAAAATTATGTAATTGATTATGGATTAGTAGGTACGAACGGAACTTAATTAAATTTTAATAAATGTATGGTACCTATAGATATTTTATTGACCTTTTGGTTTTACAATCAGGATTTCAAATTGAAAAAATGCTCAAATACGATAGGCACAACTTGCCAGTTGCGTTAGCAATATTGGTTCTAAGTACGTATTCTAATATAGAGTCCGATCATGATGAAATCAGAGGAATGAAAAGGATATAAAATCAAAGCTGTAGGAAAATAGAATTTAAAAAGTAATAAAATATGAATTGACGTAATCTAATAATTATATAACCATGCTTCATAATTGTGTTATTCTTGTAAATACTTCAACATGTCATGAAATCAACATATCGCGTAAATGCTCGATAAACAAATCCATTTTTAAGTTTTTTTTTTATTAACTGTATACAAATGTTATTTATGCACTAGAAAGAGCACTTCATTGTTTAAAAATAGGTTAATTGTCAAAAAATCGAGACTAATAAGACTGTAGTATTTGATCGTTTTTAATTATAGATATACCCATGCTTATAAATACATAAATACTTGACATAGGTACGTAGGTAGTTAAATATGTTTAATCTATAAAGTTAAATTTTTAGTGTACCTAACTGCTTAATTATTGTAGTAGGTATGATGTAAAAGTAAAAAAAGTGAACCAGTTATAGGTAGGTACTAAAGATATATTGTTATTAGTTATTACTTTACGTCAAAAAGATAAATTATATAGCGTGTTAATAACACTTAATTAAAATTTTAATTCCAGTGATAAGACTTAGATTCTGAGCAGAGCTATGATAAGTGGGTGCATGTTTTATTTTTTTTTTTTTGTGTACGCAGACTGGTTTTTATAATACAAAAAATACTTTAATTGCCATTCCCGAGAGTGGTTTACGGTAGCAATATTTGTAGCAAATTATAGTCTTTTGAGAGGGAAAAGATAAAAACTGCACCCGTTACTTTTCCTATTAATCGAGATAAAATAAAAATGCGTAAAATGGAATATTTTATAGATATTTACTTGAAATTTTTAACTTAATTATTTTCTATAGTCATTGTTAAAATTTAGGTAAAAAAAAAATAAATTGAATACTAAATCAACAAGATTTCTCATAGTTTTCTGGATGTAGTTAAAAATTTATAATTTGTAAATTATTTTAAAGTTAAAAAGCATTAATTATCTAGTACACCCATCTAGTACTTAAATTGAAGTTTTTTATTAACCATACTACATTTCCTAAATATGAAATCCACTTTTAAGCTTTTTAACGTTATATCATGAATCTCTACGATATTTCTATTGATATTAGCTATGAACATATTCGTGAAAGTTAATTATAATACTACATACCTATTATTTAAACATACTCGTATTTTAATTTAATTTGTAAACAATCAATCTCAATTTGATTATTGTATTTTAGATAAAGCCGCGAATAAAGCTTAATATACATAATTATAATATCACTTCAATGTTTACTCTATTTTTAGATTCTGAGTGAAGCAATAAATGTATTAATTTTACAATGAGGTGATATTTTTATTTTTTTTAGTAAGGAGTACACGATAAGTTATTGATAAAATGCTTCGATTTTCAAAACTGTGGCAATTTCGGGTACAAAATTATGTCTGTTTTGTACTTTGAAGAGTTTAAAATTAATAATTCTTAGTACCCATACTTAAAATCAGCAAAAATGAACAAAAAATTAATAAAAAAAAGAACTTTCATAAAATTTTCCACAAAATCGATTTTGTTTTTTTTTTTTTTTATATAGGTAACTCGAAAACGAATAACTGTAGGAAGTTACTTAAAATTTTCACCAAATATTTAATTTGTCGTTTAT